ATTTGCAACAAAAAACAGGATTTTTGTACTTACAGTAAAATCCATTTGTTAGAGTTTATTGGGAGACACGGGATTCAGAGTTCAGAGAAGGGCTACAAAATTAATTATAGGGATGGAAGGCCTGAGTTATGAAGACTGCATTCAAAATCTAAACGTATTCACGTTAGAAAAAAGGAGATTACATGGGGACCTTATTGCAGTCTTCAAAATCATCAATGGGGACCCGAATATTAGGAACAAGCTGTTTAATTCCAAAACTGTATTGAGAACCCGGGGACACAAGAGGTTAGAGGAGAGGGGGTTCAATCTTAGAATTTGCATGGGGTATTTCACTGTGAGGGTGGTGAAAGTTTGGAACTCACTACCACAGGCGGTGGTATCTACGGATAACATTGATAAATTCAAGAAACTCCTGGATTAGTTTCTTCTCTCGCATAATCTACAGGGATATGGCAAGAGTTAGAGCCAGATAAATACACACACACACACACACACACACACACACTCAGATACATAGGTTGAACTGGATGGACCTTGGACTTTATTCAGCCTTACATACTATGTCATTAGGTTATAATGCAACCTACAAGAGGAACTGGAAACTGACAAACAACAAAAGCAATTGGCCAGCCAAGTATAACCCCTCCCACTAAAAACCAAATAGCACTGGAAAGATCACTAGTGGCTACATATTGAACCAATGTGGTTTTAGTCCAAAAATCCTCACTTTACTAACACATCAATGCACCGTTTAATTCAATTTGACTGGCAGACAGTATAACTACACCAATTAAAAATATGACAACGTTGTCATCTTTAAAAACACCGCACAAAAGTCCAGACCACATTCATACCACACACTATATTACCCAGAGGTCCATTTTAATATTCAAAAACTCTTCTGTTCATAATTGACCTCAATGGGTATATCCATCTTCATATGTCTGTTTCATACCTTCTCTAAACAAGAACTATGGGGCAACCTTTTTTTCCCATAGTTCTCCTCAGGGTCATGGGAGGACATATACCATGTCCTCCGCTGACCAAAAACTCAGCATATAGTGCTATATAAAAATAATAGTAAAAGCCGTGCTGTGTGATTACCGGTCAATGAACTGGTCAGTGGTAATCTGCATTGCGCAGTATAATCATTATACAGCGCAATGGAGAATACCACCAGCTATAGAGGACTACAAATCCCAGCAATAATACATTATACAGCACAATGCAGAATAATGCCAGCTACAGAGGACTACAAATCCCAGCAATAGTACATTATAGTATAATGGACTATTGCTTTATTCCTCTATAGCTGCTGGTATTCTGCATTGCGCCGCTGTATAATGGACTATATTGCACACCACACTTTTTTTTAACTTCCACCGCTCCAAGCTTGCTCCCGTGATGGACTACAATCTCAATAAACTAGTAGTCCATCACTGGAGCCTTTTTTTTCAATCCGATTAATCCAACGTAATAATCGGCTAACTAATCGATTATGAAAATAATCGTTAGCTGCAGCCCTAGTATTCGGCATCAGGTGCTTCCTCTACCTGGTTTGAATTAGAGGAACAGCGCATACAGACCCTGATGGGTCTCTGCTAAAGGTGCGGTGCATTCCAGAAGATTTCTCTGTTGATGGTCACAGGAGACTATGATTATTTTACATCCAATGTTTTATCTTCTATTTTCCTAATGGACTATTGAAGATCCAGGATCATGGACATTTTTTAACCATTTATTATTTTCACTGAAGTGCATGTTATACACATGCGTTTTTTCTAGTTGTTATTCTTTGCACATTGCATCACATTGTTTCACAGTTAACATCTATTGTATTTGATTTTTCATTATAGAATTTTTAGCAATGCATTTACACCAAGGTGCATGTTATATACATGCTTTTCTTCTTTGTTTTGCACTTTTTACACATTGTATCACATTATTTCTAGGTCAGTATCTACTATATCTGACACTTTTGCAGTTTTATTCACACAGCGCAGCTTTTACTATTAATTTTATACTATATATCTGACCACACAGATTTCAGCTGCTGCTTAACCTGATTGGAGTAGTGGCGCGAGGTTTGACATTATTCATATATTGTGCTATATGCTGGGAGCGTCGGAGCCGGGATGGATCCTGACAATACTGTCGAGATCCACCCTGCTGGCTGACAGCGGGCTCTGCCTATCTAGAGGCAGAGCCAGCTATTGCCTGCCACCCTTCAGCGTCCGTTCCTCCAGTCAGCGCTGAGGAAACGGAGAGGGGAGGGGACTGACAAGGACTGACAGTCACCGCTCTCTGCAGGAAGATGATGGGGAAGTGAGCGGATCGGCGGCATGTTTTATCTCACTTCCCGATCAATAAAGCCAATGTGAAACAGTTTCAATGTCACACGCCGGCTCTGACTATGGGGATGAGTGTAATTCACTCGCCTCCTAGTTCTCCTTTAAGGTTCATTCCACCATTATTGTATCCATAGAGATGCCAAGCATCTATGTAACATTGAAGGGAACTGGGACCATACATTGATTTTTCTTAATGTTAAAGCTACTCTTGTAAAGGGTTCTTCATTTAAACCACAGTAAGAAAAGAAAAATTATGTTTGGGGTGCATTTACCTCCTTGTGGGTGGAGTGGGTATAACCGCAGGTACTCGGTCCACTTAAGTTGAAAATGGTCATCCAGGGAACAGTCAGACCCAAATATTATAAAGAAATGTCCCTTTTTTTTAAATCTTTGGCAAAAAGACAGATTGTCTTCAGGGAAGCTATTGAAGTTAATTGCATTCATTTCACTACCAACAATGAATGCAAAAATGATCATGGATCCCATGCAGCTCATGCTACAATGCTGTGTCAGAGAGATCCTAACAAACAAAGCTGACCAGTCTAAAGACATTGATATTTACTTACTTACACACATATTGATCTAGTTCATATTATCGTGATATGAAAGAAAATGGTGGTGCCTGTTTGTTGTGGCTAAAAAAATATCAAAAACTTTTTGGGAATTGTACAGATTGAAAAGACCAAGCCGTTCTGGTACAAACAATAAACAGAAGAGGTAAAAAGCATTCAAAAAAAAAAAAAAAAAAAAGATTTTGTGAATTGTACAGATTGAAAAGACCGAGTGCTTGTGGTACAAGTAATAATCAGAAGAAGTAAATCACAGCCCTGGGCACTCACTAAAAGCCTGGTATCCAAGGCCACAGAAAGCAGTTGCCACAGCATTTGTAATACCCATCTGCTGATGGGTTAATGAATGGCCTCTTATATAACCGTCACCATGGAAACCGGAAGAACTGCATTCACAAATGTGGGGGAGTTCAGAAACAGAAAGATTTTTAGATACTCAACTGAAAGCCGCACAGACTAGCGTTAAGGAACATTAGCTGGCCTCCAAACAAGGTCATCACCTGAGATCTGGAAAAACACTTCCATCTCAAAGCATAATCCTAAACACTTGACTGTAAAACAGGATAAGAATTGGATCGAAGAATAAAAGGAACCCATTCTAGGGGCTGAGGTCTGGAAATTGACCTTGCAGAGTCTGATCACAGGGTGTCTGAATGCCACCCTCTACCCCATCCACATTATTAGGATAACTCTTGCATTGCTAATTATTCATGTCATCATGTCATACATTTAATGTAACTAACACAATACAACATGCTAAATATATATATACAGTCAGTGTGTGTGTATATATATACACACACGCACACTCTACATACACAAAGAGTTCTGCCTTATGTGATAACTTGGGCTTGTGTCTGGAGCTATGACCCGTGGCAGCCAATGTGTAATTGCGCAGAGAAGATGTTAGCTACGGGCTGCCTCACAGAGTCATCATGGGCTGCAGGTACGTATATGTCTGGGGAAGGAGTCACTTTAGGTTAGGGGGAAAGTGAGGACATAAAGCTTATAAAGTATACTTTGTGTAAAAGTGCACTTTTCATTTAATGTAAAGTCATCAAAACCTGGAAAATTTTATATGAGCTCATAATGCACATTATTGCATATTACCTTCCCCCAAAACTAGATGTCAATACACGTATTCAAAGATGATGAAGTCTTCTTAAAATAAAGCTTCAGGCAAACAACTGAATACATCGTTGAAACTCATAAATCGTTACTACTACCTGTCACGAGATTTGTAATTCTGTACAGCCAATCTTATGATTTACACACATATTCCACACTGCACAGCCAGACAGGTGACAAATGTATTTCCTGATTAAGGAAATTATTTTTGCAGCAATGCAGCTTTCTACGTCATCTCTCCTCTGTCAGCATCCTTATTGGAATCAGGCCCGGCGCTACCGCAAGGCAAGTCAGGCGGCCGCCTGAGGGCGCTGCAGGGTGAGGGCGGAAAAAACAGGGCATTTTGACAAGTACTTGTACTTGTCAAAATTCCCCCGATGTTTGTGCTATGTTTTTTTTTTTTTTTCACTTACCT